GACTTGACCTTCCAAAAATATGTTCCTTGTATATCACGATGGTCGGTTGCTACGGGATACCCTCCCGTTTGACCTTTGCGTGTGACGTCATCACTAAATGGTTGTCAAGGACTCGTTCAAGCCAAGCTCAGCGTGCTTTTTTGAAAAAGCCCTATTATATTTAAACGCGCATATTGCTAACTGTTATTTATATAGGATTCACAAATAAACATTGCTTAACAAGGTCTGGAGGTTGAAAATTAATTTTGAATCACGAGAGCGTGATTTTAGCTACTATACTTTTGTCGCCATTTYAGASAAAACTGATTTACAGCCTTCCCCTACTGAGTAAAATTGGGATGCAAATAAACCAAAAGATCCCTCTCCTCCATAGTAAACTTTTTGTCTTGGGTTTTGCCTCATCTACCCGTCCGTCAATACAAAAATCGAACATTTTCACCATTTTCAAGGATTTTCGCACTTTCTCCTTCGATAACTCCTATATCTAGTCATACACGTATAGAATCCCAAGACAAATTTGTTATGTGGGAGTTATGGAAGATGATGGACAGGAAAAAGAATCAAGTTTAAGGTAATTTGATTGTCTATAAATCACATTTTGAGAAGCTACTCGTCGCTACTCGAGACGCCATATTGGATCTTCGACAGCATGTCACTGACCTCATTGTTTTGTGTGTTTTTTTTTCGCAGAAAAGATCCAGTATTCTGTTTTAAAAGCAAAAAGTGTTCTAAGGAAAACAACCATAAAGGAAGGTGCAACAGCGAGAGAAGAAATTGGGGTGAATTTTGGAAGTATTCCACAAAGCAGAAGCTGCAAAGCCAAAAGAGACAGCTTSGAGAGCAAAGGGCGGAATACAGCGCCAAAGAAGCTAGGCTAGATGAAATTGATGAACAAATTACAAAGAAAAAAGAAGAAGCAGGTATGTAAAACTTAGCGCTTCTGTGTGCAGCCATATGTTTCTCTTACTTATATTTAATCTTCTCTTACTACAGCTATTGCTAACCATGTGTTTACTGGAACTTTAATCTATGATGGCTAACATGTGAGGTCTCTTCCAATCCAGCAGAAGGGAGTACCTTTTTTATCTAATCACCTTAGCTATAGAAGCCAACCTAATAGTTTTGAAAGTGTTATATTTACTACTATAATACTCAGTANCTGGGATTATCTGGCATCAGTGGTGTCCTCTGAATTGTTAGATAAATTAATTGCAAGCTATAAAAGGGGGAAATATCTAGAGGGCATGTTTGGTAGAGCATTAAATAGCTATAGTACTTCTGAGGAAGCTCTTAAGCAAGCAACAGCTAGTAAATATCAAAACTTTTTGTCTAGAAGGAAATTTAATTTTATGTGTAGAACACAAAGTTCGTATTTTGATGCTGACAAAGAATTATGGCTCCCTAGGAATGTTAAATTCATGGGAGCAGATATTAAGTTAATGAGAAATGTCTCAGATTCAGCAGTTGAAAAGTTTGTTAAAAGTATGAACATAGGTCATGTGTGTCAAATCCCAAAGGTTTCTGGTCTGTGCAGAACTGTTACAGGATTAGTATTTATGATTCTTGACCTGCATTTACGTCTCCCCTACCTACGTAAAAAGCTAGTTTGGTTTAATGGAAATACTAACCATTTTATATTCCAGTTTTCAGACGATGGTGCACCTGAAACAAGCCAGTTAAGTATGTCTATTGGTAGTCTGACCTGCTGGAACTTTTGGCAAAGGGTTCGCAGTAGAGACTACCATTACATTCTACACTGCTTGAGCTTATCAGAGAAAGATCAAGTGATGTCTGATTTATGGAATCAGATATCACAGGAAATGATGATGCTGGAGGGAAATGTTGTAACAATTTGCAACGAAAAGTGCACAGTTKAGTTCCAACCCAGTTCTGACCAGTCATGGCAGAGCTGGGCCAGCAATGAACTGAACCAAGCTGCCACATATCCATCTCCTTATGCTAATGTGCATAAGAGTGCTTTGTCTAAAATGGGTGGTACAATAGGGTTTTCTGAGTCWGACACATGGAAACCCCCTACAATGGCAGCAAGAAATGAGGCGATAAATAAGGTGGAAGATTATAAGAAAACCCTATCTACTACCATTTTAGAAAGKACAAAGCACAAAAAAGTGCTAGATTTTATGGCTGAATCTGGCATTAGGCAACTAGGTCCTCCCAGAATCAATATTTATGCTGATTTACAGAGGCCTGAACCCTTACATGTTGAAATAAATGCTTGGCAGCATTTCCTCAATTTGCTTTATCATGAAGCTGTTCAGAGACATAAGATTGATTCATTTTTGGATACACTAGCAGCACCCATAACTGGTAAGATTATTAGAAAAGAATCAAATGAAGTACATGCATTTGCTAGGTCATTATATCAATGTTCAGGAGTTGGAGAACGTGTTGCCATTATAGCTTTGGTGCAACAGCAAGCCTCAAATTTGGAAGCAAAATTCAAAGAACCAGTTAACACTACAGGTGAGGCAGTTGAGGAATCTGTACTACTTGGTTGTGGTTTGTCCTTTGTTGCAAAAAGAGTGAGAGAACAATATAGTGATGAGGGCAAGCGCCACAACAACCTATCTTTGAGACTCATTGGCCACCAAGCTATTTTAATAGCACAATACTCGTACCGACTAGTCGATTCTCTAGTGTTGTCACATGAATCACAAAGTCAGTATRTTAGAAGAAAAGTATTGAGTAAGATTAGTGAGTATCTCAGAGATGCAGGGACTCTGTTCAACAAGTTGGAAACAAATCAAAATGAAATTGACTTGTTGAATGACTTATGTACTATGTATTTTAATTTAAATTCTTTATTTTTTTCTCACAGGTTGAACATCACAGTCTGGACTATAGGATATGCCCTACCTTATCATGCTAACTTGTTATATACTAAATATAAATGTGGCTATGGTATTATCTCTTTGCAGGCAAAGGAGTCCAAGCATGCTGCAATAAAGCAAGACCTCTCTCTTACAAACAGATCTACTGCAGCAGACATAAGTGGTAAGTGGGGACAGGTCATGAGAGCAAATTATGTAAGGACATTTTACCTTCCCGAACACAATCCCCTCCCCTCTACTTATACATCGCATTATCAATCACGCCTTCCACCACACAGTGTAAAAAGTAGTTCTTGTCATTGTGGGAGGACTATAGAAGATGATAATGAAGACAAGTGTAACACCTGTATAGATGCCCAAGAGATTGAAGAGTGTGCTARGCAAAGGATAATTTTGCCTCCAATCCTTAATATTTTGAAACCTGTTTGTTGTGAAACTTGCTCTGAAAGATTTCCAGATAGACATCTTCTTGAAGACCACATTCAAAATTCTCATCAGCAAAATCTTAGACATAATATTGTCCCAAAAAGTATGTCAGTTCATCAGTTGAAACATGAACTTCAGCTCAGAGGACTCAGCACTTCAGGTAATAAATCTGTATTAGTAAAGCGWCTAGAAGGAACTCTGTAAATTGTTGTCATTCTAATATATAAATTTCGTAAAATAATTTCCTGTAACAGTTATGAGCATACAATTAGTAATCAGACTCTTTTTGATTACTGTTTGAGCTTTGTTTTATTCAAGTTTGRGGTTTAATATAAGTACACTTCAAGTATGTACTAGATACCTTGACTGTGATMACACTTTTGAGTTTTGTACAGCAACCAATGTAAATACAAATATCAAATATATMGAAAAAGACTATAGAGCAATGGTCTTGACTTAGTTTAATAATCAATAATTTTTTATTGGGGAAAATATATATAAATTTCAATTTTGATAACATGTAAATAGATTAACCAAACAGCAATATAGTGCCTTCTTATTTTATATATGTAGTTTCAATATCATAGTACAAACAGTACATGTGTGCAATACTTAGTACTATGCTAAAATGTGATAATGAAGTAGAAAAAAATAAAATTGGCATAATCTAGTAATATTTTGAAGTAATTATGACATTGCACAGACTTAGTGCTTGTACCTTAATCAATCTTTGTACTCTACTGTCTCAACTGTAAGACTGGTAGAGTCTATACAAACTTTAATTTAAAAATAATTATATA